TACACACATGCAGTTTTGCTCAGGCTGAAATCCATTCAATAAACATGTTTTGTGCTATATGTATTTATTATATATTAAATGGTCAAACTAACTTTGTTTTGTGTTTGTGTATGACTCAGCTAAATGATTGAGCATTTTCAGTTTAGACCCAAGCAAATAAATACACAGTACTTTAGAATTTGTTTACTTTAACAAAAACTATTACCTGTATGTGTATATAACAAATGCAGGGTTGGCTTAAGTAATAATGTCAATGGATTTAACGCTGCCAATAGTTCAAACCGCACCACCAAATCTTTCGATCATTTTGTAAACGTCAAGGGGATTTCACATCATTAACTGTTCCAGTCTTAGAGAACCCGTCAGTGATCTCACTCTAAATAATGGACCTACTGTAAGTCTAATTCTGTTGTTCTTCTGCTGTACCTGTGTAACACCACAGTGAACTGTTTTTATTTAACCCCTCTTTCCCTCCCTCTCAGACTTATCACTTGTTTCCGGCAACTGCAGCCTCTTGTAAGTCAAATTGATTGAGTCGTCCTTGAACATCTGTTGTTCAGCCAAGCCTCAAAGGTAATCCCGCTAATGGCCCTCTAAGCTATCCACATAAACACACACATAAATAAAAATGTTTCCAAAGAGATTTGGTCATTGACTTGCTGCTAATCAATTCTGCAGCCGCATCTGTTGATGAAGGTTTGCGAAGTACAGAGCAAGATATATGTAGCGATCAATGCCTGGCACTACACTGGCTGGCCAATGACTGACAGTCACAGCTCCACCGGGAGTCAACATTTACACACAGATGGACCGGGCCCGTCGGATGTCTTGGCAAAAGGCTGCTGTTCACACACACACACACAACACACCACACACACACACACACACACACACGCACACAGTGAAACTGACCAACAGAATGTTGTCCATCAATGACACAAGAGGGAAAATTACGGGCTCATGTGAAGCGGAGTCAGTAAAGTGAAGAAGTGGCATTCCATAATTTGAGCTGCTAAGCTCTGGCACAGACTGATATGACTGCTGTTGGATGAATGCCACTTCAGAAAGCCACTGTTTCAAGGTTTTTTGGGGGAAAAAAAAGGGAAAATGGGCTTTTCAAATTGCTGGCCAGGTACATTTTTTGTATTTTGTCACTGACTTAAAACTTTTGTGGTACTGGGGCTTTCTACTGTATCTACAGGATGTACAACTTCAGTTTACAAGGGCAAAAAATTATTATTACTAAAACTGAACAGCATTATGGTTAATGCTAAACAAAGGTTGAGCTTTCTGTCTGTCCAGCTGGACTAAAGTAGCCCACAGCAGGGCTTTCTACTTTTGAATGATGACACAAAAGGACCGAAACATACCTACAGCTTTCTAGACATGATACTTATGGGGGAGACAGTCGGAAAAACACCTGAGCTTACAGCTAGAGAAATATCTGCATGTGACAGACCAGGCTGGGCTTTTTTGGATCACTCCTGCTGCCAAGCAATATTCATAAATTTAATTTCCAATCTGCTCTCCTTTTATTAGTTTGGGTGTTATTAAATGAGATTGCTTCATCTTATTATAATATATTTCCAGGGCCTGCGAATGTGGCTAGGAGCTGATATTCAAATTCAATAACATGGCCTGTACTTAGTGCATGGCACTAATAAATGCCAATGTATGATGCATATGAAGACGGGGCTCAGAGTGGAAGTCACGGCGGGCAATAATAATGCTGTGAGTGTCCTTCAGAGGTGAGACATGCCTCTCTCCACCCCTGTACACCGCTCATATGTTTGAAGAAGCCCAGGTGACCTACATACAGAGATACGCAGGATGGAGGCGGCTGTTCATATTTCCATGTATTTTATTAACTAGACTAGACAAATCCCCAAAGAATGTAGACACTAGCTTTGATACTGTACGTCAGAGTGAGGACTACAGTATGTAAATCACAACTAGTGACTGACCTTTGACCTCTCCATTGCACAGTGGAGGAGACTGACCTGTTGGATCCAGCTTTGAATGGACATCTGTACTGTTTGGTGTGAGAGAGAGACAAATACATGACCAAAGAGCAACAGTACGTGGCAGTAGCTCAGTTGCAGTGTCTCACCTCTTGGCCTCTGCAGGGTTAAAACTTCACGCCTCTCCCTTTTTCCTATTTTATCGCTGTAACCTGACAACTGCTCTTGCAAAGATTGCAGCTTAGGAAGCTTAGCTGCAGGAGCGAGTGACCTTTACTTTTATTATGAATATTTCTATTTCATCGTTATTATAGAGTGAAATCTATGCATATGATCAGCACAATGGATTTCTTTTTCATTAGTTGTGTAAAATGCCACTCAGGGAATGGAGGGGCAGCCGGGGCTGCCTGCCAGATCCCACCCCCCCCCTTCCTCCTTCCCACC